AGCAGGAAGGACCACAAAATGGGAGACACCCTCTCCACACCTAGACCTCATCACTGTAGATGACACTTAAATGCCCTGAAATCCAAACCGAATCAATGCGATTCCAACCTACCTAATACAACCTACCTAGGATTTTCCAGAAGGGAACTCTTGCTTAATTCAGAGATGATCTCTATTTTGTTCCCTGTCAGAACATGAGGGTAAATCCCATTTTAAGGTCCCTCCTGAGAGGCAGTTTTCTAAAGTGTTGGATAGATGTCTAGAGTTTAAAAAAAGCTGAAGGTCTTATAAAACTTAGGGAGCCCACTGTTGCTCAGACTTGCTTGGTCACTAGGAATTACCCAAGTTTGTTTATTAAGAAACAAATTCCATGGCCCCTTGTGATTTATTCCAGTGTTTGTCCAACTTCCCTGGACCTCCACATCACCTGAAGAGCCTTTGAAAGAAGCAAATTCCTGGCCTCCACCACTCAAAATTCAGACTGGCAGGACTAGGGCACTAGCATCATGACATTCCAACATAGCTCTGGGTGGTTCTGATACAGGAGGATCTTAGACCCTCATTTTTTTTTTTGTTTTCTTGAGAAGTTTTTGCTATAGGGCGCACGAGCTTGCCAGAAAGACAGTGAGAGACAGAGACAGAAAGCGAGAAATCTCCTTCCAGGGGGAATGGCCATGCCGCAATCCCTTCTCCTCCATTCTCCTCTTGGAATCTTGGGCATGCACGCATGTGCGCCTGGCGTGAGTTTAAGCCACCGGGTCCAGGATCCGAACCGTATAGACCCTCATTTTAAAAAATATTGATGAAGAGTCTGTCAGGACAGTCCCAACCTAGAGATGCCACCAGAAACATCTGAAGAGTTTTCTATAAAGACAGGTTCCTGGGTACCACTGTTGCCTCATGTAATCAAGATCTCCAAAAGATGTGGCTGGGTAATTATTTCTTAAAAGGTATAATGTTTATCATTCTTGCAATTATCATAGTTTGAGGGTTCACTGATTGTCTAATTTCCTTATTTTATAGATGAGTGAACTACAACTCAAACAGGATGACTGGTCCAAACCACATGCCCCAAATCGTGGGTAAGTTGGTTTCCTGAAGGTCCAGGAATAGAAATTCAGACCTTGACTACTTACCTATGATGCATTTCATTATAGAGGTCTGTCTCTGACTCTAATAGGAGATGAAAGGTACTAAAATTAACAAGCTAGGTGTTAAAACAGAATTACTGAAATACTAAGCCTCTAACATTTAAGGAAACCCTGAAAAACGGGTTAAAAATCGGAACTTGTTGACCCAGCTATTTTATCCAGTGAGTTATAGGATCTATCCATAAATATTCTGGGTTTAATTTAGCGAAACCCTAAGTAAGCAGATAATTTTGCTTAATGAAATAAATGTATGTGTGAAACATTATTAAAAGTAAAGGGCATAGGGAACCAGCAGTTAGCGTAATGGCTATGTCGCTGGACTCCCACGTAGTCGACCGTGGTTCGTGTCCCAGACCCGGTGGCTTAAAACTCACGCCGGGCGCGTGTGTGTGCGTGCCCAAGATCCCGAGAGGAGAATGGAGGAGAAGGGATTGCGGCGTGACCATCCCCCCTGGGGGGTGATTTCTCGCTTTCTGTCTCTATGTCTCTCTCTGTCTGTCTGGTGAGCGCACGCGCCCTACAGTGAAAATCTCTCCAAAAAAAAAAAGTAAAGGGCATACTGGCAAATAGCTTACTGGCAAAGTCACTAGACTCCCATGTAGCTGACCATCGTTCAAGTCCCAAACCTGGCGGCTTAAAACTGGGTGTGTGTGTGTACGTGCCCAAAATTCCGAAAGGAGATTGGAGGAGAAGGGATTGCGATGTGGCCATCCCTCCTGGGGGGTGGGGGGTTAGTGGTGATGATTTCTCGCTTTCTATCAGTCTGGCAAGTGTATGCGCCCTCTAGCAAAAACCTCTCTTCAAAAACAAAAGACAAAGGGGGAACCAGCAGTTAGCGTAATGGCTATGTCGCTGGACTCCCACGTAGTCGAATTGCGGCGTGACCATCCCCCCTGGGGGGTGTCGCTTCGCTTTCTGTCTCTATGTCTCTCTCTGTCTGTCTGGCGAGCGCACGCGCCCTATAGCGAAAAAAAAAAAAAAAACCTCTCAAAAAACAAAAGACAAAGGGAGGATCCTATCACTTAAGACACTAGAATTTTAATCGGCTTTCTCTGATAAGCCTAGAGTTCCATCCCTTCTCTGTTTCAGGTTTCAAGTGTTTGAGGCCTTAGTAAATAATTTAAGTAAAACTGAGAAAATCTCTAGTTTTTTCCTCCTGAATCTGAATGAGAGGTATTATGTTCTGAGCCAATCTTTTCCTATACATTTACCAAACTTTTGACACTAATTATGATCTTCTCAGTGTGCAAAAAGTAAATCATTTACTTCCACATGATTAACACATTCACTCCTCTGTCAGGAGGGCATGAATGGTACTTGAAGATCGAGAATAGACTCGAGGATCAGACAAATCTGGAGTCTGTTGCAGGCTATGCCAGGTTCCCGCTCTATGACCTGGGTTTCACATCTGTTTCATTTATTGCGTTGTCCCCATCAGAGGGTCCAACACAACATAGGTGCCAATACAGACTGGTGGACTTAATGAATGATTAGGCCTTAATCTGCTGTTTTAGAAAATTCAGACATGTGTGCAGAATGCCAAAACATAGAACAAACAGCTTGTAGAATGTCCATTGGACAACTGCTCCTGCATTTTTTTTTTTAATGATGGAAGAAAAACAAAAACTCAAGTTTACTTACACAGCAATGGAAAAGTGATGCCAAACACAAAGACCATGACTCCTCCAAACATGGATATGAGGAAGTAGCTAGCCAGCATGACCACCATCACGAACGCCGTGGGGTAGCGCTTCTTCATCCGGCGGAGCACATCTTTATTGTGGGCTGCCCACACAAACCCCGTGAACACCAGCACCACCACAATTCCTCCAAGGATCATGTTGAAGGGGCTCAAAAACCTAAGTGTAAGGAGAGAAAAAAAGTGGGAGACTAGCTCAGCCTTAGGAGTAGCAGAAGGAAGAAGAAAAGGAGGAAGAAGGGCAAAAACAGCTCCTGAGTATTTACTAAGCACTACGTCTAGATCGTCACATCTAACCCTCATCACCTTATGAAGCAGACACTATAAATTCAGTTTCCAAACAAAGAAATTTAGGGTTGGCTCCATGGCCCAGTGTTTGAGTACTGTGCACTGGGAGCCAGGTGCCATTGGCCGACCCTGGTTTGAGTCCCAGATCCAGCAGTCTGAAGAACACATTGGGTATGAGTGCGTGCCCCAAATGCTGAAGGAATGGAGAAATGAAGGACAAAGAGTGGCAGGATGACCAACCCTATTGGGGATGCTTTCTTTCTCTCTCTGGAGCCTGTGCCCTTCAGCAGTTTTTTTTTTTTTTTTTTTTAAAAAAAGGCTTAAGCCCAGAGGTTAGAAATGATGACACTGAGGGCAAGCAGGTGCTGTAGATCCCACATGGTCAGCCGTGTAGTTTGATTCCTGGACCTGGCTACTTGAGAACATGCCGGGCACGTGTGAGTGTGTATCCAAAATCCTGAGAGGAGACAGAGGAGAAGGGATTGCAGCGTGGCTTTTCTCCCTACGGGTGATTTCTCACTTTCCCTCTCTGTCTGTCTGTCCCAGCGAGTGCACACACCTCATAGCAAACTGAGAAAAAAGAAAAAGAAAATGGTGGCACTGAGATTGTGACCAGGCAGATGGACTTTCACCACAGCAGTCAGTCCCTCTCATGAAAGGCCCACAATTTTGAAGATGAAAGCTTGTTTGGAAGAATTGTTTTAGCTTTTTTATACATCCTGAAATCTAATACACAGTAGGTGGTATTTTCTTAAATCTGAGGGCTTATATAAATTCTGACAGAAACTGCCATAACAGATGAATGTAGAGTCAGACAATGGTCTCCAGGCTCCAGTCTACAATCTTGTTTCTGTTCAGCCTATAAAGGGTATGAAAAAAACGTTTACTTGAGTCACCACGTGTTACAAAGATCCACAGCTGGGCCAGTGGCAGTGGCTCAGCAGTAATGCAATGTTCCCTGGTGCCGAGGGCGTGCGGGAAGGTCCTGAGTTCACGCTCTGAGGTTTCCCTGAACGTGCCAGGAGTACACATGCATGTGCCTGTGATCCGGGCTGGCTAAGGCTGGGCTGCATGGCAGTGAGCTGACCATGTTGGGGGTGCCTGCCTCCTCCTCTCTTCCCTTTCACAGAATACATACACCCAGGAAAAAAAAAATCCATAAAATGAGATTTTTTGTTTGTTTGTTTCTCCTGGAACAAGAAGACCTAACGCTCAGCTCACCTCCTCTGTCCACAATGGCCGGAGCGCCACCTTATTCAGACAGATGACATGGTCTCCATTTGCCTGAGTCCCCGCCATTACCTACTACTCCTTGACACAGAGGCCCAGAATGTGCTGCTGTTCACCACTGTTCTCAGAGCTGGCCTCAGCTACTCTCTTACATAAACTGTCTGCTCCATGGAAGCATTGCAGTTCATGAATCTTAAGTTTATGATAAATCTTTTAAAAGGCTCAAAGTATCATTAGGAGATGGGTCCTCCACTGAGCTTTCCAAGCAAAAGCCCCTGGATTCATTCCATATGAACCATATGTCTTTAATATGGGACAGCAATTGATTACCATTGACAGTACAGGAAACACATTATGAAGAACTGGAGACCAAGTCGTTCATAAATGCGAATGGCTGGGCCTCGCAGTCCCCTACCTCAACCCACTGCATACAAAACCCTCATCCAGACGTTTGCGGTGGGCATGTACAATGAATTACTACTTTCCACCCTAGAGGTTAACAAGTAGTTGACTTGGGAAAGACAAAGAGAATCCATGTGTTTCATCGTGCTCTGAATATCAGTCTCAGAACAGGTTTGAAAATGAGCAGTGTGGGAGGGGGGCAGCAGGTGGTGTATAGTGGTTAAGGCACTGGACTCCCACGTGGCTGAACATGGTTTGAGTCCCAGACCCAGAGATTTGAAATTCACGCTAGGTGCGTGTGTGTGTGCGCCCGCCCAAAATCTTAGGAGGAGAATGTTGGAGAAGGGACTGTGGCATGGCTAGCCTGCCTGCGGGGTGACTTCTCGCTTTCTGTCACTCCGTCTCTGTCTCTCCAGCAAGCACATACGCCCTACAACAAAAATCTTAAAAAAAAAAAAAAAAAAAAAAAGAGCAGTGGGAGAAGACAGGATAAGGGAAGGTGATGCCAAAAGCTTACTTTCTCCGAAATGCGACAGATGAAGGATTTCATATTTGGATTCGTATCTAGAATAACTACAGTCTTTTTTTAAAAAATACATTTAAATTTTTAGCTCTGATTCTGCCTACTGAAACACAAAAGCTATTTTAAACAGTTTTAAATTAAGAGTGAAAGTTTTTCACACCTTCCTGGGTGAAATCAAAGGATATAATCAATGTCAGACTGGTTCAAAAATACTAAAAATTTTCCACTAAGGTGCACTGAATTAAACTGTGGTAAGAGGAGTAGTACTTAAAATTCAACCCTGTGACAATAGGTTGACCATTTCATTCAAAACTCTTGCAAATATTTATACTCTCAAGTCAATAAATCCCATCATCAAAATGTAGTCTCAGGAAATAAATAAAAATGCACATAGTGAGAAGCCAAAAATGTTCATTTTTTAAATTTTTATTATAAAAATATGTATTTTTAGAAGTAGTAGTGCTAGTATTCTCGATATTATTCTGAGAATACAGGAAATATTATGAGGGAACTAAAATTGCAAAGACTGAGTTGTAACAGTATTCATATTACTGGTATTTAAAGTTTTAGAACTATGGCCAACAATTACTAGATTGTGGTATATACAGCTACTTTTTAAAAGTGTATATATACTTAATAATGTAAGAAGATGTTAAAAATATGCTGAGTTGGTAAAAGCAACTATGAAATGTTCTCTCTATTAGATGGAATACAAATTTCTATAATGAGTATATTATTTGGTAACCAGAAATAAAATGAACACATTAAAAAAAAGAAAATATAAAAACAAGTGCTCTTCAATCCATAACCCAGGCTCAGCCCAGGCCAACTACAATACCCCATCTGCAACTGTACCATCTCTCCAACAACAAAGGAATTTCAGTTCATATAACACAGTGAAGCCATTCCTTCTCCAACCCAACCCAGCCGTTCCTTCTCCCCACTCATCCTCCAGGTCCTCTTCCTGTCAGTCTGTACCATCCTCCCCCACAAGCCTTACCAACACCCAACACCTGTGCTGTTATAGCTCCTTCCCTCCCTCTACTAAGTCTCTCCACACTTTCTTTTCTTGTTTTGCTTTATTTTTTTTCTATAATGCTTTATTATTTTACTTAATCTATTTACTTTTTTTAAAAAAATATTTATTTAATTTTATTTATTCATTCATTTATTTTATTTTGGCCAGAGAGAGACACAGAGAGAGAGGGAAAGTAAGAAAACAAGACACCAGGTCCAGGACTTGAACCGTTGTCAGCCATGTGAGACTGCCCAGCACCTTAACCACCATGCCACCTGCTGGTCCCAATCTATTTACTTTTACTTTTATTTTATTTTATTTTATTTTATTTTATTTTATTTTATTTTATTTAGGTTATATCTTGTCTCCTGATTTAACCCTAGAATTAGTCTGAGAAAAAAAAATATTTCCTTAGAAGCCTTGAGGAAAAAGACCAGTCCCATGCCTAGTGGTTAAGGGAGTTGGATTGCACATGGCTGACCATGCAATTTGAACCCCAACCCTGGCAGCTTAAAATGGCACTATGGGTGCATGTATGTATGTGCCCCAAATCCTGACAGGATGGAGACAGAGAGAAGGAACGGTTGCATGACCAAGGCCCATAGCGTGTGTGTGTGTGTGTGTGTGTTGGGGAGTTGGGGTTGAGGGGTTTCTCTCTCTCTCTCTCTTTCTGGCAAGCACACATGCCCTTTGGCAGTTAAAAAAGAAAATGACTTGAGGAAGGTAAGAATCTAAGCAGAAACAAAATCCTCATTACTGTGGTAGGGAGACTGAATGGAGGAGCACAGAAACTCTTTGCAGATTAAAAATATCATTTCTGGTCTTAAAAAGATTCTGAGAAAAGGAATAGCAGATGGTATAATGGTTACATCACTGGACTCCCATGTAGTCGACCGTGGTTCAAGTCCTGGACCCGGTGGCTTAAAACTCATATCTGGCACATGTGCAGGCTTGCCCAAAATCCCCAGAGGAAAATGAGAAGGGACTGTGGTGTGGCCATTCCCCTGGGGGGTGATTTTTCACACTCTCTCTCTCTCTCCAGCAAGTGTATACACCCTATAGCAAAAATCCCTCTTTAAAAAAAAGATTCTGAGAGAAATTATACCAAAATACTAAAGTAGTCATACTGGGGAGTAGGATCAGGGTATTTATTTTCATATGCTTATTTTTATTTTCATAAGTTCTCTTCAATCACCATATTTTCCTTAAATAATTCAAAGAAATCTGAATATTAAAAATGAACTAATGAAATTGGGAAAAAGAAAAACAACCACCTTTGACAAAGCCTTGACTTTGACCTATAGCCTATCCAAATGTTTTTGAGCAGAGAAGATCAAAAATAACACAAAGAAATAGAATGGAGGATTCAAGTCTAAGGGAGCTCCTTTGCATAAGCTGCAAAAGGCAGCTGGTTGATTGGCAGCAAAGCTTCCAGGGTCTCTTATTCAGTCTTTCTAGAAGACTTATTAAAATAATAATTCATGGAGTGAAGCATATAATACAATCCATGTCAAGCATTTTTTATTTTCCTCTGGACAAGTAAAGTAAATGTCAAGTTTCGATGTCTAAATAAAGCCCAGGACAAAGAACAATGAAAAATCCAGGCCTGACTCAAGCAATTCCAAATTTGCGTTTCACCTGTTCCTGTTGCTCACATTCAAGGGAAGAGCATGGCGCGAAGGGTCCTATGGAATTGGTT